AAAAAAAAAAAAAAAAAAGAATTCCACTCATGGTCTCTGTATAAACCAAGGGTTCTCTGTTCTCTCGAGACTTTAGCATGCCCTTGAACAAAATAAAACCTAAGAGTAGGGGACTTATCCTACAGCCAAATGAATGAATGAATGAATGAGCAAGCCATATCTGCCATTCCTAAGTCAAGTAGCCAAATAGCAAAGGAAATTCATGCACTCAGGCTGCATTTCCCTAGTACAGCAATGGTTCCCACTCTGAAGGGCAGTGTGGCTCTGTCGTCCCTTAGTCTGGAGTTAACTGTGGCAATGCTGAGCCTCTGGAGTGAGTCCAGGGAGTGGGCTCTGGAACGCTGCAGGACAATCAGCTGGATTCTGAGAAATCTCTACTCAAGTCACCAGTTAGCCTTTGGGCCTTCTCTGGGCTTGCCCTTTCCTTGAACATTTATTATGCACTCTGGACTGCGAGGTGCAAAGGGTAGTGGTAAGGGAGGAAACCAAGATGGTCACATGTGAGCTTTGCTCTCTTCACATCTCAGTTTCATGGCTGATGGAGACAAATGTATTCACATGGTACTCTGCTGTCACAGTTGTGTCACTAAGTAACACTCCTTGGAAATAAGTCTACAGACCAGTTTTCCCACAGTGCTTACATACACCCTGAAGCCTTGCCAGGGAAAGAAGGGGAGGGTCAGGAAAGATGCACGTTGGTGGGAAGTGGCCAGAAAGAGGACTCTAGGTGCAGAACAGAGGAGAAGAAGCAGGCTGGGCTGAGGGAATAGAGTCGAGTTCCCACTGGACCTGTGGCAATGAGCCCTTCAGCAGGGCAAATCTAGCAGGTGGCTGGCAGCACCACAGGAAGTCTGGCTTCTGTGGGGTCTTGCAAGCTGGACAGGTATATTTCTACACATTTGCCCACCTGGGACACAAACCTCTGTGCCACTCCAGTCAGACAACTTCTGTGTACTTTTCCAAACTGTTCTATGGCAGCTTCCACGTCCCTGGACCTCAGTGACATTTCCATGGGACCACTACCTGTGAGCTGCGTGCTATGTACTGTCTGGTTTTCTTAACAGTTTCCTGAACTCAAGACTGCCCCATGCCACCCTACCCTCTTGCAGTGTGGACACTCCACTTTTGTCCTAGAATTTTATGCTGTCATAGAAGCATAATTTTCACCTATGGCCTGAAAACGAACCCAGATTTTCACTCTTACCTGTTGCTGGAGAGAAAGTAGTACAACTTTTCAGGAGAAAAGATAACAATAGGTATCAAATATATAACAATATTTGAAAAAATCTATACCTGTTGACCCAAAAATTCTACTTTTACATCTCCCTAAGGAAATAACCAGAATATGGACAAAGACTTATATAAGGATACAGTCATGGTGGAAAAAAACAGGAACTAAGCTGAATGTCTAGCAATGGGAAAATAGCTTGAGAAATGATACTTTATGATTATATAACCATTATATTTATATTAGGTTAGTATTATAAAACCATTATGAAGAATATTTCTGGACTAACTAATGACATGAGAAAATGCTTGATATGACACTAAATACAAAACAGGCTATAAAACTACACTATGATCTTAGTTTGGTAAAAATGATACAGAATTGGGGAAGAGAGGCTAGAAGAAACTTTGGTAGGATGTCCACAGTAGTTATTTCTTGGTGATAAGATTATTGGTAACTTTTCTCTATAATTCTGTGTCCTTCACAAATTTAGCCAAAGCAAACATGCATTACTTTTATTATCAGAAAAATATTATTTAAAAAGAAATACAGCTTTATATATAGAATACTCTTCAGTTGTAAGCAGTCCCTCCCTCCCTCCTTCCTTTAATATTTCAGAGTTCCCAACTGTTTTCTTAGCACTTGGGCTAGGTGTTAGGAGTACAAATTTGAATGAAACATAATCTATATCTTCAAGAAGCTCATTGTGTAAAGGGAAAAACATATGTAGATCTGTACCTGTATCTGTATCTATACCTAGATCCATGGCTACACCTACATCTGTACCTATTCCTGTATTTACCTACATCTGTAACTGCACTGGTACTTGTATATGTACCTACCCTGTATATATACATAGATATGTACCTGCACCTACCCTGGAACTCTGCCTACACCTGGAACTGTACCTGCTCCTGTGCCTATACCTATAAAAGTAACTATGCCTTACATACACCTATGCCTGTCTATACAGGCATCTGTACCTGTACCTACACTTGTTAACCGTGCTTGCACCTATAAATGTACCTACTCCATTATCTGTCCCTACACCTGTAACCTTACCTACACCTGTATCTGTGCTTACTCCTACCCTTGCATCATATCTATGTCTAATCTCTCTTCACATGATCATCCATGGTAAGGCTAAAGATAGAGAAGGCACACAAGGACCTGAGTGACCTCAGGAGAGGTCAGGAAAGGTTTCCCACAGCAGGTGACAGCTCCTCTTCCCTCTCCTCCCCAAGACCATGAACACCTGAGCAGTGATGCCCTGGGCCAGGCTGTTCTTGGTCCAGAGGCAGCCACACACCTCTGTTTTCCTTGGCTAGGTTGTCGGCCATCTCCCAGTAGTCGTAACTGTGGAGGATGCTGTTGGTGATGCTGACATGGTTGGCCGCCATCTGGTGGATGCGCTGTGGGATGCTGACGATGGTCGATGGGGACAGAGCATTGGCACCGGAGAGGCTGCCCTGAGACCCCACGGAGCTGGTGGGAGAGGGGTTGGGAGACATGGGGGATGGGGTTCCAGTGCTCCTGGAAGGGGAGAGGCAGAAAAACCAGAGTGGAGAGGTCGGGAGTGGGCGAGGCAGGGTGGCCCGAGGGCTCGACAGCACCATGCACAGGGTGACACAAACTTACTTTCCGCTGGTTCCCCAAGGAGACGGGGCCTGGGCAGCCTTGGATGTATTCTGCAGGAAAACAAGTGCATGCACATTGAGTGTCTTCTGCTTCTAGGTGCATGGAAACTGGGTCAGGAAAGTTACAATATCACAAGGCTACTGGCTCCCGCAGAGGGCTGAGAGGAAGGTCTCGCTTCTGGATTTTATGTACATATTTTAGATAATCAAATTAAATCATAATCCCGAGAGCCTACTGACTCCTAAACTAGTCCAATTTTAAACTTTTAAATGAGTGTACTTATTCTGAAAAGGAAAAAAAGAACAGCAATCACTCTTCCCCCTACACACCAAGAATACCTTATACTTAAATTTAGGGGTTATTTGCCGAAACTGTGGATATGGCCTTATTTAATGCCTGAGAATAGATGTCAATCAAATTCTATTGTTTTAACTTATGAAGTTTAAAGCATTTATTTCTTTTAAAGGGAATCACTTGACTATCCCTAAAAGGATGGATTAAAATGTATTTACTTATATATACATAGGATATTCAAAAATTCTGATTGATTTGGATATTTTGACTTTGGATATTACGTTGCATGAGCCAGGTGCTTGCATCAAGCATTCAGAAGTTTTCCAGGCTGGGGATATAGCTCAGTGGTCAAGCACTTGCCTAGCACGTGTGAGGCCTTGGATTTGATTCCCAGAACCAAACGAAACAAAACAAACAAACAAAAATAAATAAAGGAAAAACCAGAAGTTTTCAGGAAGTCTGCAGGATGATTAAGGGGGAAAATAGTCTTTGTGATCTTGTGAATGTTTCCTTCCAGAGACATGAAATGGCCTCAGCCTAGTTTTGTGAGACAACATATATCTTCTGGTTACAAGGAACTTTACAAAGCAGTGACTGATTTTTTTACTTTTAGTTCAAGAGGTAACAAAATGGCAAAAAAATGGCCTGTTAGGACTCAGAGGCATGACAGCAAAATGTAAGCTCAGGGCAGAATTGCAACCCATGTCACTTTTACCTGTCTCAGGAAATGACATTATTTTGATGGAGAGAACTAGAAAAAGAGAAACTCAGAACATTATTGTCACTTTTCTCCATCAGGGGATGTGGGATGTTTCACTTTGTTTTCCATCCATGTGAAGTTCTAAGAAGTGATTTATGTAACAGATGTTCCAGATGTAACACAAAGGGGAAGAGGTTTTGGGGGTGTCAGAAATAGTTCAGAAAATACTCCTATGGCCCAAAATATGGGCAGCCACTAAAGTCCCCTTTTCAGAGACAGCACCATACTGGTAAAGCACATTCTCCACAGCTGAACTGTCACTGTAACCTGAAAGCTTCAGTCTCTGAGCTTTATTCATGTAACCTTGAAACTTTGTACCCAATATGGGGAACCTAAGAGTATTAAGTTTCAGTTAGGAGGAACACGGTCTCCAGATTAATTATACAGCACAGTAACTATAATTAAGAATAACATAAAGTATACTTGAAAATCACTAGATTTTAAGTGTTTGCATCACAAAAATGATGAGTATGTGAGGTGCTGGACATGTTAGTTTGATTTAATCACTCTGCAATGTAACTATATATCAAAACAGCATATTGTATGCCATAAATATGCATAATTTGTCATTGGTCAATTAAAAATACATTAAAAATGTAAAACTGATGAAGGGTAGATGTCAATAACTTTTGAGGAGAAACTCTGATTTTTTTTTTTTGGTACCGGGGATCAAACTCGGATCTTTGTGTTTGCGCAGCAGGTGGCGAAACCACTGAGCTAAGAGAAACTCTGATTTTCAGGTTCTTTTCTCTACCCATTCTGTATAGATTATGGACTGCACGCGTACACTGAGGAACTTTTATCTCTTAAGTATTTTTGCTGCAGTCCTTCGTTCTCATATAATTCAGCTTCTTTTTTTTCCTTTTTGTGGTGCTAGGGGTCAAAGCCAGGACCTCACTGATGCTAGGCTGTTGCTCTTCCACTGAGCTATACCCTCAGCACTGAGTGTCCTTCTTTATTCAAAAGCTTTTTGTCTTGACTGCAATAACTCTTTAGTACCAGCTCTTAAGATCTGGAATCTCTGAAAATTGTTGATCTTGACTTTAGGTGCCCAAACATATGTAAAGGGAAGGTTCCATGCCAGTCCCTGGTATATAAGGTGCATGCTGGCCAATGGGTTATGAAAGTTATTTCTTGGTCCCAGCACCTGTTACCCTACACGCACAACTGGGAAGGAGGGAGCAGGCTGGACATAGCCCATGGGACCCCCAACACAGCCTGGCCATCAGAGATTGTCTCTAAGATGTGGAGCCTGGGGATAAAGGATCTAAAATGATGGCTGTGTATCTGACAAAGGGGTGGTAAAGACAGTGATGGTGTAATTTCTTGTTTCTGTAGATAAACAGATAACAAGGCCCCAAAATGTCAAACAAATGATTAAACTTCAAGTCCACTTTGCAATAGTAATTGGAGGACTGTTTTTTTTCCTTTTTTTTAATGTAAAACATTCTTCCAGTGAAAACGATTTCATTCCCTGAGAGAAGCAAAAGCTGCCATGACTGTGCTTGCATCCTTCTAGTCACATATTGTTATCTGGTGTCTCTGAGCTCTACTGAGTCATTTCTTACCATTTTAAACAACATTTCTATTAAAAATTAAAGTAACTACTAGAGACTAAGTGGAAAAAGCTCTAAGTGAGAATTTCCGAGAGAGAGAGAGAGAGAGCGCAGTTCTATGTGGACATGAGGGAGTTATGTCTGCTATAAAGATGAATTTCCCTGGACACTGGGAGGATTAACTAGATATTCTTTCTCTGGTAAAAATATATAGACAAGAAGGCGGGGTGGGGGTGAATGAGCTGGACTCTTTCTCTGAGTCCTAGAAGCCACAGGCGTGCCATAGATGAGGTTGCTCTGGACACCAGAGGTGACCTGCATTAGCCGCAATGCAGCAGGCTCTATTAGTCTTCCCAGAGGGGCCCCCGACAGGGAGATAACTCAGCACACGGAGCCACGTTGCGCCTCTGCCAGACAGTACCTTGAAATAGTCGATGAGTGCCTTTGAGTACTTTACAGCGTGATCCCTTTTCAGTCGGAACATCCGCCAGTACAGGAGAGCCAGGCATCGGTAACTGCAGCAGAGGAGAAAGGAGTGGGCGGGGGGCAGAGCGTGAGTGTGTCCTTCACAAATATGGCTTTAAAACACCATGTCTTTCCAGGGTCCACATTTATGTATCTCAAGTGTTTCTATATGCATGCATGTCTATGAGCATTCAACCTTCCTTTTGTCCAAAAAATACAACCCAAACTTCCAAGGAGGTACTCCAAAACTGTATTTATCACTACCCCCTTTATTACAGCTTTATCTCTTTGTTGGGAAGTCTGGACACTTTCTTTTCCAACCACCAGAGGGCAGTCTCTCTCCATGAGAGGCAGGCACCAGGAAGCTCTAGTACCCAGCTTTCACTGCTCCCTAGATGAACTACCTGCTTTGGGGCAGGGTGCCTCTCCCTCCTGTTTTTATTATCTCCTTGTCCTATCCTAACATTTACTAGTCTATCAATTTTTTCAAATAAAGTAAAAGATAGTGTGCATTATAAACAATAAAAACATTATGCTGAAGATAGTTTTCATTTGATTATTTTCTACAACCTTTTAATACCATTTTCATATTAATACTCTATTTAATATGCTAATACGCATTATTAATCATTCATTTATTAATTCCAATTTGGAACTTCAATAAAGACAAGGGCATAGGGCGGCGTTTCCTGAGGCTTATCCTCTCCTCACTGGTATTCTTCACTTGTGTTATAATTATTTGCTAATTTAGATCTAGGTTGTGTCCCTAGAATAACAACAAACCAAATACAGCCTAACAGTCTCCTCACAACACTCCACACTCCAGATGTGGTCCTGATGCAGAGCAACCTGAGACCTTCTTTTGTCTGTTGTTGTTATATTTTTTGAGACTCCATTTGACTCTTTAGCTTGTAGATTAAATTGTAGAGTGTAATGAGCCTTTGGAGAACAAAAAAATTTGGGTCTTTTGACAAGAGGAACAACAGAGAGGTGTTTTGAGATTTGGGGAATGGGGTAAAATGTCCTGAGGAGACACCATGGGGAAATTATTATTATTAGAGCACATACTCTTTATCATTATAAGTACAAAGAAAATCTATGATACAATGGCTAACATTTTAGGGAGAAATGATTTTATCATCAAAGTATAATGAGCTGCTCCTCAATTTAATGTATTGAGAACTTTAATGCATCATCTTTATTCATACTAATGTGGCATGTAAAGCAACACATAAATTATTTTGATTGCATTTAGTGTTAAACACAAGAGAAATTCCATTGGGCACAATTTACATTTAAATGTCTATTACAAGGAACTTCCTGATTTTAAAACACAGGGATACAAACAGAAAAAAAATTATTATTCTATAATGGACCTGTGGAATTTCAGTTCATGCATGGGGTGACACCAAGAAATGGTCTAGCTGGGCCAGATGGCCTGTAATCTCAGCACTCTGGGAGGCTGAGGCAGGAGGATCAAAAGTTTGAGCCCAGCCCAGGTAACTTAGTGAAACCTTGTCTCAACATAAAAAATCAGAAAAAGGCTGGGGATTAGCTCAGTGTGAAGGCCCTGGGTTCAATCCCCAGTATTGGAAAAAAACCCCCCAAAACAGAAATGGCTGAGACTGTCCCTGACCATCAGAATTACATGGAGTCTTGTAAGACGGAAGGCATTAGAAGAACTTCCAGCACTGGGCTTGCCAGTGGTGATACAGGAGGCTGGGGGCCCCTTTTAAATTGGAGTGACACACTCACCATAATGCAGCTAGCTGTTTGTCCTCTGGTGTGGCATTGGGGCCTGAGTGGGTTTTTAGTCTCATAGCATACCTAAAAATAAATAAAAAGAAAAGGAATTTTAAAAAATGCATTCCTGTTAACAACAGAGCCTCATATCTTGTGGTACCTCTCTCTGCCCAGTAATTAGTTTTTCATTGTACTGCTGCTAATTCTTCTTAAAAGCTAGCTGGTGTCGCTTTGTCTCCCCCAAGTACTACATTACAGCAGAACGCTGCTTTGGTTCTTTCTGCTCTTTGACTATATGCACTCAAATGCTGCAGACTGTCAGACAGGATACCAGTTCAAGAATGTGTCACGTATTTTGCAACATGTCCACTTTTCCGAATTTTGATTTATGGTTGAGTGGCTGACAGATGGAACCAAAGTCCCATCCTTCTCAGTTTGCCTCCAGGAGAATTTTCAGCCCTGTGTTCCGACAGATGATTTCTTTTCCCTCTGTTATGTAACTGTTACTCTGCTGGCAGGGAAGTGTCCTGTCCTGGGTACATTTGAGGTCTCTTTGCTCCTACAGAGGTGAACTATAGGAAATGAGTGGTTATTATGGACTGCACATGATTCCATTTACTCCTCTCATCTAGGGTAACCGTAGCCATTGGTTTCTCCTGGTAACATACCGGTTCACCTGAGACTCTGAGAGAGCTGAGGTAGGGTGTGCAATGGCCAGAGGGTCCTAGGTTCAAACCCCAGCTCAGCCACACACTAGTGGAAGAGTTTAGATAAAGGGGTGAGCATCTCAAAGCCTCCATTCCCTTATCTGTGAAACAAGATGAATACAGTGGTTACATAGTGTTGCCAGGATTAACCCAGATAGTTTTGAAAAGGTCTTGGCATAGCAGGCTGGCTTGCTGCAAACCACTCAAGAAACAATGTGGTGTCATGACATTGTCTCCAGACTCATAAGTTTCTGAGCACATCTCTGCAGTTTTCATAGTGGCTGGTCTGGGAATTACAACATACGTAATATAAGTTGGTGTAATTTATTAGTATCAGCACTTTACTACTTCGAGTGAAGTGTGGAAACCTTTGCCTTCCCCACTTTTAAATAACATCACCTTGAATATCAGATGGTGGCCTAATTTTTGTTTCAATCATCAAACACTATTTAGAAAACTCACAAGTGGGGTAGTTTACTGTATGTACATCTCTGTTCTCATTCACCAAGATTTCTTCCTCTGTCATTTTCTTTCTGTTAGGACAGTTCCTTCAGCCTATAGAGAGGAGTGTCTATTACAGATGGACTCTTTAGTTCACCTTAGTCTGAGAACATCATTATTTCCCCTCATTCTTGAAGACTGAACTGAGAATATGCTGCTCAAAAGTTGGTATTTCCAGGCCTTGGAAGTTGTCACGCCACAGTTGCTACCATCTGAATGGATGCCCCACCCCTGCAGGAAATGCACCCTTTCTCTCTGGCTGCTTGTAGGAGTCTTTCTCCGTCTTTAGGTCTTTAGTTTTCAGAAACGTAATTAAGATGTGTCTTGCCCCTTGTTTCTTTTGGCTCATCCTCTCCGGGTTTTTCTCAGCTTCTTGGATCTGCAGGCTTATGTCTTTGGATATATCTGGCCAGTTCCAACCATCACTTCCTCAAGTACTTCCTTGGTGGTCTGTTTGTTCCCTCTCCTCCCATCTTCTCTCCTACAGAATCTTTTTTTTTTTGGTACTGGGAATATGAACCTGAGTCCTTGCGCTTGCACAGCAGGCGGTGAAACCACTGAGCCAAATCCCCAGGCCCTCCTACAGAATCTTTTGTTACTCTGCTTGCTGTGGTTTGCATGTGAGCAGTTTTCCCTGAGCAGTGCCCTTGGGAACAGATGAAAGCTGTTTTCCCAGGAGTGAGTTAGGGGTGGATCCTGATGAAAAAGGCTGAGTTTGAACCAGTTTCCTGTCTCCCTTGTGCTGAGGGCCTGGCCAGAACCCTGTCTTCCAACTTCCCAGCCTCCAGAGCTGCAAGCTGAATAAGCTGCTGTTATCATCAATTCAGTCCCCATGGTATTTTGTTCAAGCAGAAGAAATTAAAGTAAGGTAGTGCTTGAGGCCTTATTCAGTTTTTAAAAAGCCTATTTCCTCTCAGATCAGGTAAATTCTACTTTCTGTCCTCCGGTAGATTGATTCTATCTTCTATCACCTCCCAGGGTTCTGTTGAGCCCTGCCAGGGATTTTTGTTTCTGTTACTATATTTTTCAACTCTATCATTCTTTTTTTTTTTTTTTAAATGATTTTCATTTCTTTGACAAGATATTCTTTTTTATGGTCATAGAATTGTAAATTTTTTTGGAGCATTTAAAGGTGGCTGCTTTAAAATCCTTGTCAGATACTTGCAAGGTCTGATTCATCCTGGTATTGGTGTTCATTCATCGTCTTTTTTCATTCCCGCTGGGAGTTTCCTGGTTCTTGGTAGGATGAGTGTCTATTGTATCCTGGACATTTTAGCTATTACATTTAGCTATTACTTATTTCAATCTATTTTTAGCAGAGAGCCACTCTGTTTAGGTGCAGCAGGCAGGTAGTGGCCTACTTTGGGGGCTGGAGTTCAAATTCAATTTAATTTTCAGAACTCTTCTGGCCCAACTTCTGTCTGCTCAGCTGAGTGGGGGTGGCACTCCTGAGGTGAGGTGGGGGTGGAAGGGCAGGGTCACCAGGGTGAGCTCTGTGGAAGCCATGCCTACTGCCAGCACGCTTTTGCCCTCTAGGGTCCCCTGCAGGAGGAGGGAATTCTCCCTTTGTGAGATTCCTGGTGCCAATGCTCCTGGCCCCTGGGTCAGAAGCCTGTGTCAGGCTCAGTGATTAAGGTGCAGAGTTAAGGGGCAAATTAATTAGCACTACTTTAAAAAAAAGAAATCTATAAACAACATGTGACTTTATTTCTTTTCTTTTTCTTACTGACCCTTTATACATATTTATTGAGCTCATTTTGGTACTTTCATACGTGTACACATTGTCTACTGATCAAGTCAGGTAGTTCATTTAGCATCCCCTTGTGCATCTTCCTTAAGGTGAGAATGTTCAGAAACTTTGCTCATCGCTCTTCTGAAATAGGTATGCGGTATCTTATGGTTAATTAAGTCACCTACTGTAACACTATTTTCTAACTCAAGAAAGACAAACTCTTTTTGGCTTCGTTTTCTGGTAGCTCAGGAGAGACCATTCATTCTGCGTTCTCCATCTGTGAGAGGTTTCTTTCCACTGAGCACACCCGCACCCCAGAGATGTCTGCTGGCATCTGGCTGGTTTTTGTTTAGGATGTTTGTTCCTTTTAAAGTATGAATGCCTGGGCCAGGGATTTAGCTCAGTGGTTCTACGACCTGCCTTGCAAATGCAAGGTCCTGAGTTCCATCCCTAGTATCAAAAAAAAAAAGTATGAATGCCTGTAAGCAAGCAATGATACTCATTTCACAGCAGGCTCCATGGCTTGTGTATAGGTCCATTCCTCAAGTATTTAGTGAGCACACACTCTGTACCATGTTCTGTTCTAGGGGCTGGGGATGCATCAATGAAAACATCAGACCAAACAACAACAAAACCCCTGTGCTTAAAATAATCACATTCTAGGTTATTTTCCTGCTTTGTACCTGTCCAGATTCACCCAGTTTCTTTCCTGGTCACCTGTAGGCAACTGAGGCTATGGAAAGGATGTGAAGATCTAGTGTCTCTTACAGTAATTTTAACAGATTTTCACTCTGTTGTTTGCTACTGAAAATATTACGCCATATGAGAAGACAGTATGAAGGAGTTAGCAACACATTGATTTAGTAGAATTATTTTAATGAGAAAAGTGATTAGGCAGAGTTGACCTTCAAAGTAACCTTGAGAAGTGCTGTTTGAAGGTCTCTGGTGACAGGATAAGAGTTTCAAAAGCTTGAAACTACGGACTGAAGGATGGTGGTCAAAAGTACAACACAGCCTCTTTGGGCCAATGTGGACCCAAAAGACCCTGCTCTAAGACAATCAGATCTTCTGTGTGGAATGGTGGGGCACTGTAAAAAATAGCTTTAGATTGCAAGGGATTGCAGAATTAGAAAAACCTCTTAATGTGAGTCTTAGAAAGAATTATTTCACATAATGAGTATTAGACATTACTCCACACAGTTAAACAGGCTAAAAACATAAACAATATTACAAAGGTTCTCAGTAGGGCTAACCAATGGAATTCCCTTACTGGTTTGCTAGACAGAAATGAAGGATGTGTCTTTCCAGGTGTCCGTTGTTGAAGAACAGGGCCTCCCTCTTAGCATGCTAGTGCCCTGTTGGAACCCTGATCTGCTGGGACCATGTGACCCAGCCCAGGTGGAGTGATGGGGCTCGTGTCCAGGGCTTAAATCAGAATGGTGGGTCACCATGCAAGATGGCACATTATAGGATGACTTCTCCTCTTATAAAATCCATCTTCATCTTCTTTCCTTACATTAAATATCCTGAGTCACTTACTGAGGGAGGTAAGTTTTAGGTACAATGGTCCCTCCATATCTGAGGTTTCAGTCTCAGTGTTGTCATCTACAGCCAACCATGGTCCAAAAACATGAACATTTTTCTTGACTCTTGCAAGCAAGAGACACTGGATTCACTTAAGTTTTCTTTTGGTATGTTATTATAGTTGTTCTGCTTTATTATTGTTCTCTTACTGTGACTATCTCATTTTTTTCTTTTTGGGTGGGGCTGGGAATCTTACCTAGGGCCTTGGGCATGCCAGGCAAGTGCTGTACTGCCGAGCTACAACCCTGGCCCACTGTGCCTAATTATAAAGTAAACTTTAACATGGCTATGGGGTTCGGTATTATCTGTGGTTTCAGGCATGCACTGGTGTCTTGGAAAGGAAAAGAGGGAATTACTATACACTAAGCTGACCAGATTTTTCTTCTTTCCTTGTCCTTCCCTCCCCTCTTCTCTCCTGTCCTCTGGTAACCACCATTTTACTGTAAATTTTGGTGAAATTAGCTTTTTTATATTATGCAGATGAGTGCGATCACGCAAGTACTTGTCTTTCTGTGCCTGGCTCATTTCACTTTACATAATAATCTCCAGTTCCATCTATGTGGCTGCAAATGATAAAATTTCATTCTTTTTTATGGCTGAATAGTATTCCATTATACACATACATACATGTGTGTGTGTATATATATATATATATCTTTATATATATATCTTTATCCATTCATCAGTCAGTGGACACTTAAGTTGTTTCTCTGTCTTAGCTATTGTGAATAGGCTGTAATGAACATGGAAATATGGATGTCTCTTTGATGTACTGATTTCATTTCCCTTAGAAATAGACCCAGTAGTGGAGTTGGTAGGTCATATGGTGGTTCCATTTTTAATTTTTTGAGAAGCCTCCATAGTTTTTTCCACAGTGGCTGCACTAATTTGCACTCTTACTAACAATGTACCAGTGTTCCCTTTTCTCCTTGCCAGTGTGTGTTACTTTGTCACACTCTTACTGGGGTGAGGGGCCATCTCATTGTCCTGATTTGTGTTTGTCTTATGATTAGTGACACTGAGCCCTTTTTCATATACCTGCTGATCATTTGTGTCTTCTTTTGAGAAATGCTTGTTTAGACCCATCTAAAAATCAGATATTTATTCTTTTAAAATTTCATTTTGCTATTTTTTCTGGACTGAATCATTTTTTTTTAAAAAAAATAAGCATCCTAGAGATAAAATGAGTTCAAACCCCAGCACTTCCTGGCTGGGGGAAGCAGGTGTGTCACAGCTTCCTCCCTGGGGTCATAGTCAGGGGCCAAGGAGTGGCCTGCATCACAAAGTGTGTGAAAGCTGTAAAACCTTCTATTCCTATTTTTTGGGGATAGACACATTTCCCAGTGGCTGCTGGTACAGGTTGACCTTTGTGTTCACGGTGCTCCCACTTCTGGGTAGTACCCTCCGACCCGAGCAGGAAGCCCTGCTTACCTGATGAGCTCCACTGTTTCTGAGTACATGGTGTATGGAGATTTGGACTCCATCGGGCCTTGTTCCATCGCATTCCCACACTCAATAAATGACAAGGCTGCCTCGGCATAGTTCAAAGCTTTTCCAAACTTCTCCACCTGACCAACAGAATTAAGGGTCCTCCTTAATGATAGGTCTTAATGCCATTTGCACATAGTTTACACACTTAACTCAAGAAACCCAACTTTTGAATTCCCAAGTTCTGTGAAGGGAGTTGAGAGAAGAAATAGGATACAGTAGTCCCCCATCCCCACCCCAACTCCAACCCACAGTCTTACTTTCCACAGTTTCAGTTAGGCATGGTCAGTCATGTCCAAAAATATTAAATGGAAAATTCTACAACAATATATAAGTTAAAATATCTTTACACAGCACATTATCATTGCTCTATTTTATTATTAGTTATTATTGCTAATCTTTTATTCTGCCTAATTTATGCATTAACCTTCATCATAAGTATGCTTGTATATGGAAAAAAGTCTTAGTAAATACGAGGCTTAGTACTTGCTAGTTCAAGGCCTTGGTCATCATCTTTTACCTCACTGTTGTGGTACAGATCGAGAATGTCCCCCAAAAGTCTTATGTGTTTAGAGGTGGAGGTTCTAAAAGGTGAGTGGATCATGAGGGTGCTATACTCACCAGTGGACTGATCCATTCACTGGTGAATTCCTAGCTAAATGTTTCCTTAGGAAGTGGGCCTGGCTAGAAGAGGTAGGTTATGGGGCTGTGACTTTGGAGGGTGCTTCTCCCTTCCTGGATCCTTCCTTCTTTTGCTGCTTCCTGGATGCCATGAGGTGAGCAGCTCTCCCTGTCCCGTCCTTCCACCATAATGTTCCTGCTTTGGAGCCAGTTGATCTTGGCTGACTCCCCAAGACCATGAGTCAAATTAAACCTTTCCTCCTCTAAGTTGTATTGTGTTCCAGCAATGGAAAATCAGACTAATACAATTATTTCCATTTACATCTCCATGCTTTCATCTTCTTGTGTTTTTGCTGCTGTTGTTGTTAATAGTTAGGACCTCACTTAGGGTGAGGAGGGAAAAGGAGGAAGATAAAAATCAAGGCACCATTTCAGCTTCACCAGAATGGATCACAAAGTTGAAAATCAATAATAAAAATGAGTTTTTGGATTACCTGTAGTTACTTAAATTTATGTTACTCTTTCCTCATGTCAGTGAGGGTAACCATCAATGAGCTTTATATTCTTAAATTTTCATAAATCTAGGCACACTCATCAAGTTCCTTGTTCCGTACATTGCTACTTTCTGTAGATAATTACATATTCTCACTTTGGCCTGAGAAATTCCTCCAATTTTCAAATGATTCATTCATCAATAAAAAAAAGAATGACACAGTTATTCTAAATACTATTCTAAGCCTTGCTATTAAAACACAATAAGCCAACAAACTCCCCAAAACTTCATTAATAATGCTATGTTAGAAAACAGAGATACGGAGCCAAACTGCTCTTCATTAGCAAATCAAATTTTTAAACAGCTTATAAATCAAACAGGCTCTAAAGCAGTATTTTTTGGTAACACTTTCATATTAAGAAAATAATTTCATTCTATAAGTATTTTCTACAGCACTCAGTTCTGAGGCACGTGCATTTGATACACAAAAGCTCCTTGCCAGGAACATACAGTACCTTTGGAGAGAGAAAATGTGCACCCACAAAACAGTTCACCATGGGTGGCAGTTTGTGACTAACAGAATGCAAAATGAGGGGTCTGATGCAAATGAGATGGGAGGAGAGAGGAGGGAAGGGGGCTGCAGAGAGGCTGTGAAGGCCCCAGGAAGGAGACTCCATGCAGGGCTGAAGAAATGTTGTAACTGGGTGCATGTGGGAAGGATGCTGAGGGTATGAGTGTGCCTGGGAGTGACAGTGCATGTGTGAGTAGGCGTGAAACTCTTGGCTGGTGTTAGCAGCTCAGAGGCTGGTAGGAGACCCGCTTGGCTGGAGCAGTGCTTCTCTCTTGGGAAACAGTTGATAGGATAGGCAGCATGGAACAAGATGACACTGAATGAATAGGGCCAGTACATTTTGGATGATGAATTTGGGCAGAAAACCTCACTCTGCTGGGCTGGATGTGGTGGTACAGGCCTGGAATCCTAGCACTCTGGGAGGCTGACATAGGAGAATTCAAAGTTTGAGCCCAGCCTAGACAACTTACCTGGACTCAAAAAAATAAAAAAATAGGCTGTTGATGTAGCTCAATGCAAAGACCCTGGGTTTAATATCCAATACAAAAACAACAACAACAACAACAACAACAATTGATGTTTTTCTCCAATAGTGGCCATGCATCAGTTTCTCAGTGACCTGAATGCTCCATCCGACTATGGGATTGTGTGGGCAAGAGCTGTTATCTTTTTCTCTGTTTTCTGAGACTATGGACAGTTGCTTTGTACCCCAGTGTCCTTGGACTCTGTACAAATACATGCTTGATGGGTGACACTGGGACATTGGGAAAGAGGAATTGTTAGGGTTTAAGCATCCTCAACACTGGAAGAAATTCTGAAAGTTATTGGAAATGCCTTCTTTGGCTCCAGCACCCTGAGTGATCTCAGTTATGAAGGCTGAAGGGGAATAAAACCAGAATTACTGAGTACGATGGAGTCCTTTCAGGTGAGACCTTAAGATGGAACAACCTTATGATCTCTTTTAAAAACCTGAAGTTTTCTATTTCTCTCCTGAAAGCATCAAGCTTTCCAAAATAGGAGATTATCCAAGTAAGAAAAGTTATTCTTTGAAAACATAAAATCATGGTGGCTTTATGGTTTTATGTGCAGATAACAGTTTCTGTATTGTACAGTTGAGGGAAAGCATTTGTTTTGGCAGATGCATGTGAAGAACACAAGTGTTTCTGAAAAGAGATTTGATCCTGGTACCAAGCCAAGGGTTGGCTAAGCTAGTAAGAGAGCAAACATGCAAATCTAGATTTATTTTTAAAGGAAAAAACACTATCACCCACTGACTCTATTGGCTCCAGTTACTATTTAAACCTTAGGACTCAATTGAAATATTCATTTATCCAGAGCTTTCTCCCAGTCAGATATTATTGGTTGAAGTCATAATTTATTGGGCTATGAGCACTTGATTATATAAACATTTCTCCATTTAACAGGCCCAGCCATCCTTGTAATAGATTTTATAATTACCCCAGTTATATTGCCCCAGTGATGAAGCAGCAGAACAAATATAATTTGGAAGAATGTAGCTGGAAAGAAAAGGGTCTCACCATTGCATCTGCTTTATGCTTCATTCGTTTAGCTTCCTGCATAAAATAATCTGCACTGCGAGGCCTACAAGGAGAGAATGATATTAAATGTCATTATTGCTTAAGTACAAGACCTTTTGAAAATATTCTTTTCCTTCGCTCAAACATAAAGCACGATTTAAAAACTGTTTAACATAGAATCAAATATATTTTGCCCTTCCAAAATACTGTCTGTGTGTAAAATACTGCAGTTATTTTTCTCTTTAGTTAGCAAGTCAAAACCCACTCAATGTATGCAGATACTCAACATTTACAGGGGCTTTAACATGGTCCACCAGTGTCTAATTTGTGAATCAGACTCTTTATTGTGTGGTAAAGAAAAAAAAGTGAAATTCTGCACAATAGCTACACAAAACAATCCTCCTTTAAGGTACAAATTGTAAATATACCTCGTAATAATTGCATGGGTATGTATGAGTGAAAATATTTATGTAGCTTTGTGAATATAAGTATTATTTATGTGCATAAATGGTACCTAGAGTGGTATGTGTATATATTTAATTATTTTAAAGCCTCACAGTGAAAAATGAAAAAAACCTAATGCTGTATGATTACTTTCCAGTTGTAATGAAGTTAATTGCAGAATGATGTCTACCTTGTAACAATGCAAACATGGCATGTATTCTCTGGAGCGCTGATTAGCTAGCTGGTAAACATTAACAGCAGACATGTGCGTTGTTAAAGCAATAACCCTGGCCAGCTCCGATTCTTGGGGGAGATGAAGAGAATTCATCATGAGACTAATCTGAGTGTGTGCAATGACCCCAGGTCACACTGAGTTACTCATCCCGCAGAACCTTTAAATGCTTAGTTTGATAGATTTTTAAAAGCTAAACTTCGCATCCTTTATGTGCCATCAGCACAATTTTTTTATTATGGGTCTTTATGTAATCAATAAAACTGACCTATTCATGAATATCAAATATAAGCCATGACTGACAGAATGGGAGATACGTTGCAAGTAGTGATATTAGTCATGAACTGGATAGCTGATGGTGATAGGCTTCATATGAACTGTCTTGCTTCAGGTTCTAATGGGTCTTTGCCTTACTGTAATATTAGCCAGGGCATCCCTTTATTCTAAAAGGCCAAACTACTTAGAGAAACAGTGCATATCACAACAATGAACTATGACTGATTAAAACACTGCAATCAATCAATCAATCAATCGGTCAATCAAAGTCAGAATCAGAGCAAACAATTAGTTTTAGGTCCAAAAAAATCAATGAAGCATGAAAGGACCTGGTTTTCTGTCCCTTATTTTTCTTTACAATATTGTCAGTACTGTGGTAGCGAGTCAGCATGTCACAATAACCTAGTGACAACACAGCTGCAGAATTTCCTTAATGTGTAGACTCCACCCACCTTGGTTCTTTTATTGGACGATGCTGTTCCAATGAATTCTGCTTTCTGTAGCTCATCTTCCACACACCCATGCCTCCTACACAGAATGGCTTTGCACTTTTCCTTCTTTGGCTACCTACTGAGCTTTGGCTACATAGTGACTGGTCATTTATTTCAACTCTGCCAATTTGTCATTATTTTTGTTGCTGTTACTGCTCATTTGTTTCTATTTTCAAATAAACTTTATGTTTTAGAGTAGTTTTAGGTTCACAGCAAAACTAAACAAAAAGTACAGAGGGTCCTCATATACCCTCTGCCCCAGGTGTACACAGCCTTCCCCATCAACATCCTGAACTAGAGTGATGCGTTGTTTTTTATATAATGGATGAATCTACATTGACAATCACTATTCAAAGTTCATAGTTGGTGCTGTATATTTTATGGGTTTAGACAACTGTATAATGACCTGTCTTCACCATTATAGTATCACAGAATATTTTCATTGCCCTAAAACCCTCTGTATTTACTTCATATCCCAAAGTAGAGGCAGAGGCCTCACTCTCTCAACCACATCACTTCCTCACTGTGGCCCTCAACCAAAGTCTGGGCTGGCTTCCTCCCTGCCTGATAATGGGTTGCCATCCTTGTCTCTGGAGCTCTGGTCAGCCCTCCCCTCTGCTTGGAACCTTCTGCTTTCTGCTCATTCACTGAAGGCCGAGGGCCTACAATGAGGCAAATGTTTCTGCCTCTCAAACTCTACCCTCAGGCCTAACCTGTAACTTTGGTCCAACTGCATCTCTGTGTTTCCTGTTCTCCCACAGCACTTCCTGTTTACACTACAAGGTCTAGACCACAAGGTCTTTTAGTTACCTTCTAAGCTTCACAAGGCTATAGTCACTGCACTTTCAGCATGCTGCAGACTTCTTTGCTTTTCCCCACCCTGCAGTTTTATTTAGGCACCTGACAGAAGGTGAACAAGTCCTTCTTGAATAGCGCTGGATTTGAGCTCAGAAAAGAGTGGTCCCTTGTGAAGGGGTGCAGCCTCACAGTCAATGAGCCAGAGAGTGTCTCCATGGCAACTTGAAATGCTCCGCATCATTATTTGCTCCACACTCTAGGGCATAAGTTTGGCCATTTTCTTCTTGCTCTGTTTTGTAGACCTTGTCACTGACAGACTGACATTTCAAATGCATTTCATTCTCATGAAAGGCTTCTGTTGGTAATAAGCTATGGTATCTTAGTTTCTACCAGCCTTCTAAGTTACCCTTATAGATGGCAGTGGTTCATAATCCCTACTACAGGTTCTGTAATCAACACTGTTTTTATCTGCAGCATATAAATGCACTTTTAAAAGCCCAATATGGAGGCTGAGTCATAAACTCACAGTAGTGCATGTGGATAGTTTTCTGACTGTATCCTGGCAGCTACAACAGTAATCTGCCATGCTGAAAGAAAAGGGGCCACTTATGGACACATTTCTTAGAATTCTCATTTTGCATATAATGGAGGGCTCCCTACACTGAGCCACTGAAGATTACCTGATGATTGGCCCATTTTCTCCTTTCAGGTGATTTCTGGTGCCACACTCCTAGATGAGATATTACAAATCCACTGGGAACCAGGGAACATCACCCAGATTGTCCAGCATGGCTGCGAATGCACAGCAATATGCAGGCCCACAGGAAAGGCAAAACTTTTGCCACACTGTGATACTTACAAAGTCTCACACAGCAAAGGTACAAAAGTAAAGTCTACTTATCTCAGTGTTCAAACAGATTTTCATCTAATCTTCCCTTTTTTAAATACAGAAAACCAAGTTTTTGTTTTTTCATGTATGCCATAATATTCTTCACATTGTTTCTCCCACTGATGCTATTTTATAATGATTCCCAGAAAGCCTAATAGAAGTTCAATTAAACATTATAAATATAACTAACTGCATATCTTGTATTCTTGAGAAATGGGGCTACAGCAATCTAAAAGCCAGAGTGCAGCCATATGTACCTTTGTGACAAGGACTCTCTGCAACAAAAGTGAACTAAGTACTGATCCAAACATCCTTTTGGATGTTTCTTTTCTTCTCCTCAGCCTCCTCCCACCTCCTCCTACAAACACACGGTCTGGCTTTGAGCAGCAAACAGGGTGTCAGCGCCTCTTATTTCTTCCAGCACAGGACTATTGAAGCAACCTTGCTCTTTGTTCTTCTCTGTGGCTGTTAGGGTTTGAATGGTCCCCCGCGGAGAGGCTGGCAGGCAGGCTGGCTCCTGGCTGTAATTCTGCCTCTGTGAAACAGTGCCCACACAGTGCCAGCCTGTTTCCGGCGAACTGGCAGACAGCAGAGTGCACTGTGTATGAACAGGCAGGTTCCTCAATGTGGCAGAAATCTGGACAGGTTTCTTAGGGAAACCAAAATCCAAAGCAGACAGGGGCTGTGCATCCTAAATGAACTCACCATCTGACCACGTATGCATCGGCTTGTTGCTAGATGAGCCCCAACGTGTGACTGTGTCCCAAACTCTGAGCTTTCTCCAAAAGGAGAATGTGTAAGAAATTGAAGAATTCTTTTTAATCCACTGAATGATGACTTACTTGTTTTTGCGGTGTTGGAGATGGGACGCAGGGCTCTGTGCGTGCTGGGCAAGCGGTCTAACCACTGAACTACACTCTCAGCTCCAGGTGATCTCTACTGATGGAGCATTTTGGAGTCAGGGTCCTCAAAGTGCTGCTGTGACACTTCCCCAGGGGTGCAAGAAGACTGAGTTTAGTCAGCAAGGATTCTAATGCAGCTTTTGTTTCCACAACCTTGATGTTGATGGGGCCTGAGTCCCTGGAACCTGGCTCGTCAGAAGCTCATGCAACATTTGCTGTTTCCTACAGGCTATACTCCTGCCGCCACACAAAGCACCCTGTACTCACCAGGACACACAGGCAAAGCCAGGCAGCTTTTTGTTATTCAATCAGAAGCAACTTTCTGTTGAAACAGAGGATCGATTTCATTGTTGTTCCTCTCTGGGCGAGACAATTTAAAATAAAAGAATTCTACCAAATCCTGAAAGTGATCAGAGAGCTTACATTTCCATTAGGGAGATCTGAATGCCCTTGCTCTCCCTGTCCAAAGCTGGCTCCATTTTTTTTCTTCCTCTTTCTTGTTTTAGTTAGGAGAAAATAAGGACCTGGCTTCCATGCCGTTTACCAGGAAAACAAAAAGGTGGATCAAACTCGGAATCACTTTGGGAAGAGGAGACTCTTAGGAGAACAAGGCCATGGTCAGCACCCCACCCCCAAGCAGGAGAACACCCCACCTGGCCGTAATGTCACCCATTCAAGGATGTCAGTTGGTTTTCTTTGATTAAATCACACTGCACTGTAAGAGCTCCGACCTTTTACATACAGGAATCTTCCCACTGTCTATAAAATTAAAATCCTTTTAGCTCTGAGACAGCTGAGCGTAATGACATTACAAATGTCAAATCCCATTCTGTCCTCCCAGCCCCGCTTCATGGGCCCTCCACCTTCGGTGTGGTCATGTGGCCTGGGAGGTCTAGAGAGCTGGACTCCTGGTACTGGCGCCAGGAGACAGATGGGAACGTTCGGTGGCTTGGCTGTGCACGCTGGTCGTTCAAGAGAGGGTGCATCCTTTGGGAAGCAGCAGGCAGCGTTGGCACTTGGGTTCCCTGGCTACCCAACATTGCAATATGGCAGGCGGGAGCCAGGCACCTTAGCTTCAGCCAAACATTTCACGCTCAGCTCTGTGAATTCAGGACTTCTGGAATGAGCCTTCCCGACCCCGGAGTCCTCAAGGACTCCCCTGTCACTAATGATGATGCCAGGTGACTTAGAGCACATGGGTTTGCACACAGGAGATCAGTTTCTAAGCTTCAAGTGGAATCAAGCCCTGTCACTCATTGTCATAAGTCCTACAGGTTTATTTTCTCAACAAACTTCGGTAATCACACCATTGTCACCTTAATGCCGTGGCTGTTGAGCAGTGAATGTCACCCATTTGCTAAATGTCAGGGGAGGAGGTGCATTCACGCTGCCACCAATCTTGAGCCTACACCTTACCAAGAACAAGCTGACCTGGATCCCATTTTTAAAGTAAGTGTTATTCCGTTCAGTTCTGCCTGCATCTCAAAGTTACAAACCAGTGCCTGCATAATTGGTAAGCAGCATAGGAAAAGGGGCTTGGAAGCCCATGAATTTAAATTTACCTGCATGCAGCTTGATGGAAATAGAAAGAAAAAAAAATCCAGGCGCTCCCCCTGGGAAGGTTATTTATAATTCAGCTGTGTTCACTCAGTGCTCATTATTGACAGCCCACTAGGTTCAGCTGCTGTCTGAATCGCATGTTTATTCAATCATTAACAAGTATTTATAATACAAAAAGATGAGCTTACTTTTTAAAAATGCTACATGACATGGCTTTAAAAACTAAATGGTAGCATGGCATCTGTTACTTTTTGGACTGCTATGATTGGATCTCCATCAAGTCTAAACGACTGGGGCGATAATTATTTAGTCCTTTCTTTTCTTCCACTTGTCACCTCTCTTTGGTCATTTCAGTGCTTGCAGACACCTTCAATGAAGAGATGCCAAGAAAAGTGACAGGGGCTGAGAACCGCCTTGGTCAGTGGGGCCACTGGCCTGGAAACTGGAGAAGTGAAGGGGAGGAGGAAGAAGAGAAAGAGGAGGAAGAAGAGGAAGAGGAGGAAGAGGAGGAGGGGGAGGGTATTTAGTGGTATCATGTGCCTCTCTCCCCCAAAGAGTTGAGGATCATTCTATCTTAGCTCTCATCCCCATACCCTGAACTTAGTAGGTGCTCAGCACGCATCACATGAGCCTGGGAAACATTTTACACAATTTTAGGTGACTTTGCTCTCTTGGGGGACACTTATTTTAAGGGAAAAGACAATGCGTAGTTTGCTTTTCAAGCTTAAAGAATCTTTCCATGACTTTCTTAGTTCCATGTTTGAGTGGCAGTCTGAGTCGCATGTTTATGTTACAGTTAGGGATTTCAAATCAACTGGGACAAGTGGCAATTGGAATGCAACATCTCCCTCTCTCCATATGATGGATATATAAAAGCTTGTTTTGATTCTATTATATCTATTGCCACAAAAGGAGAAATAGTTTTATTGTAGCTGTTAGCCAGAAAAAATTATACATATTGCAAATGGGCACAGCAAATGACAACAGCCTCTTGGTTGACACAGATAATAACAAAATTATATTAGCCTCAGTCCTAGAAGATTGAGAAACTGTTGCTCTTGTAAGCAGTCCAAAGAACTGCAGCTCTGAGTACAATCATTTGATTGCTGCTACGTCTGACTTAGCTATCTGATCCATACCTTGGAAATTCCTTGCATCTTCTTTCTGCATAAATGCTGGTTTGCTTGTGTTTTCTCATTTATATACCATGCTCCTAAAACCACCCACTGCAAGTGTTTGGTGTTTTCAGCATCTCAATGTCCAATGCTCCTTTTTGATCATGTTATTAGTTATGACTTCTGAATGCAAATTTCAGGAGGGTGTCCCTCAAAATGACTCTAACATGTCTAAAGTCCAAAGAAACAGTTCCCACCACTGAACCCTAAATATAAGTGTCACTGGCCCACTGAGTGCCCTCCCCTCATGGAGATCAATGACCACTTCCACCTTGCTCCATAAGTGGGGAGGAAGCAGAAGGGGATGAGGTGGGAGGAGCGGGAGGAGAGCCAATGTGGAACAGGGCTGAGCTTCAGGGGAGAAAGCTGGGCCCTTGGGCTCCTTTATACTTACTGACACCAAGTATTCTGTGAATGTGTTCCTTACACAAAATTTTTTAAAAAGTGGATTTGCCTTTCAACTCCCAAGCTCTGGACCCTAATTAACTTATGGACATCCAGGTTATACTGAGGGCTGTGCACAGCTCAGCATTCTCATGTCTCAGAGATGTCAAGAGAGGAGTTTTCTATCTAGATGTCCCCTGAAGCATGCTGCGATCACAGGTGGGAACTTTCGGAAGGTGACTGGGGGGCTCACAGCTGCCTTGCTGTTAGGAGGCGAGGTCTGGTTGGAAGAGGCGGTCACTGGGTGTGGCTGCAAGGGTGCATCTCCCTCCTCAGCTCCTCCCTTCACTCTCTGCTTCCTACCTGCCATGAGATGAGCAGCTCTCCCACACCCAGACCCTTCTGCCATGTGGCTCTGCCCAAGATGAGGATGGCAGCCCTTGAGACCTTGGCAACCCCTGGTGCCACCCCTCTGAGACACCATCTGACTGGTCCTCAGGAGCCCCTCACAAGGGACGCATTGTTTCTGCTACTCACTTTTTCTTCTGAAAAGGAAGCTGAGATTTAGACACCTGAACAATTATTTTATTTCCTAACTTAAGCCTCTGCCAACCAGAGGCTAGGAGCTCTTATAGTCGAATGCAGCTTCACTTCAGGACTTCATTCTCCCTGCCTCATGCAGATAAGTGCTCCAGGTCTTCCCATGGACACCCACAGCTGAGAACAGGATTTAACCTGGAAACCCCACCTTCTATCTTCTGGGCTTGTTCTTGACACCTATTTCTTCCCCAGGAGCCTAAATAATTTTTAGTTCAGCCTCTCAAGGGCATTCCAGGATGTTCTTTTTCTTCTTCTTCTCCTTTGAAATTGATGCTGGAAATTGCAATCTTCTCTCGAGTTTCAGTGCTAGAACCCAGTGAAGGATGACAGGATAATTTTTCTTGTATACAAATTGTTTATACTGTTATAGAGGATATAACATTTTGGAGGAAAAGAAGTGTTCAGGTATAAATAGCTATAACTCTTTGCTGATTGTAATTTATAAAAATGAAAACACTTCCCTTTCTGGCAGTCTAACACTGCCCATAGAGCACAAAATAGATGCTTAGAATTAGTATTGTTTGCTTCAGCTTTCTGATGTTCTTAGGTGCAAACCCATTAGCATTGGTGCTTTTGTCTGTTCAAAAAATCCTCAGCAGAACTTAGGGCATATACAAAGCTAAAAGTCCATTTGAGAGGGACACTTAAATGACCAAGTCACGCAAGAGAAAATGGTCACACCCTCAGACACCTATGACCCGTCTACCTGTGGAATGTCCACTTTGACCTGCCCTTCACTATGTAAAAAGAAAGAGTCCAAACTCACATATCATCGAAGACCAGTTTCTGTCTCTTGCAGTCCCTGTGGCCATTGGAGCCTGGAGACCAGGGCTCTGTCTGTGACCGTGCCTTATTGTGGAGGACACCATTTTCGGAGCTGTGAGCTGTTTTCTAAACAACAAAAACACAGAAGTCTTTGAGACATTGGCTCCTTGGCTGAAACAGAAAGCCATTAACTACAGCAGCTTTTTTCTTCACTATAATACCTTTGTGTTCTATATTAGAATTGATGGTGATTTTTATCTCAATAAATACAAAGATATGCAAAGATATACAGGCTGAATATCCCTTATCTGAAATGGTGGGGACCAGAAGTGTTTGGATTTGGGATTTTTTTTTCAGATTTTGGAACACAGTGGTGCCTCAGTTCACAAATGCTTTTATTTTCCAACAATTTGGTTCAAAAACAGAAGTGTTTGGCAAAATTTTGTTTTTGTTTGCAAACTCTCTGCATCTGGTGATGAACAAAAGTGTGGCTGGTTTTCCCATACAAACACAAATGTGTCCATCTTTTCCAAAATTATAGAACAAATTAAGTTTGTGAACCGAGGCAGCACTGTATTTGCATATATGTAATGAAATATCTTGGGAATGGAACCCAACTCTAAACATCAAATTCATCTCTGTTTTCTATATATCTTAAATACATGGCCTGAGGTAATTTTCTACAATAGTTTTAATAATTTTGTGCTTTTTGACTGTGACTTGTCTCATGGTCAGCTGTAGATTTTCTACCTGAGTGATCATGTGGGTGCTCAGCAAGTGTTAGAATTTGGAGCATTTTGGGTTAGAGATGCTCAACTTGTACATGCATTCTAGGCCTGAGGGCATCTGTTGTCCAGTATCATTTATACATAAGTATCAAAAGGAAAGTCTTAATATGCTAATTTTTCACAGAGGGGGAAACTTGAGATGAACTCGCTCAGGTTCCAATAGCTACTATGGGGGGAGGCCCAGGAGTAAGGTTCAGGTCCTTTCTTTTCCCAGTCTGCTAGACCAGTGTCCAGCCAAGTTAAGCACACATCAGGATGACATGGAAGAGATCTCAGTCTGCTGGGTCCACTCTGAGAGTTTCTGATGTAGCAGGCCTGCTATGCGGCCTGAGAATCTAGTTTTCTACCAAGTTCCCAAGTGGCACTGATACCGCTGGCCCGGCAAGCAAGCCTGGCTGTAACTATCCCTCACAGAAAAGTCATTCAGGACACAAATAGATGGGGTCTCAGGAGCTGTCTGTGAATAATAGAAGAAGCCAAAGAGATTCACTAGGAATTATGAAAAATGCAAATATATATACAACACCTACTATGTGTGAACACATGGATCATCAAACAACTGTCTTTGGTTATGAAATTGCTTCCTCTGAAGTAACTGAGTGTATACAAATGTTTCTATAAATACGGACCAGTTTTGTGCTTAACAGTTCTATTATTTATACATGACCAGGAAAACCAGATGCTAGATTTCTGAGACTGTTCTTAAACTCCTTCAAAGGTGCCCACTTGTTAAAAGGAGAAATACCAGCAAAGTGGCTTCTAACCTGCAAGGCTGGCCTGACCTACCTCCCAGCCATGCTGCTCTGTGCTCTTTGTTCCTCAGACTCATGACCAACTTTCACTTCTTCCCCAGGACCTTTGCATGTGCTATTTCTGCAGCCAGCAATGTGCTTTACCTTGTAATACACTGCTATTTGCCTTTTAGAGAGCTCACATCCATGGGTCAGCATCCTATGGTCTGTGGATTGAACCTCACCTTTTTTGTAAACAAAGTTTTATTGGAAAACAATTGTGCCTATTTGTTTACCTGTCACTGATGACAAGGGCTATGTTTGCTTTACAATAACAGAGCTGAGTAGCTATGACAGCCTAACCCACTGGCCTGTGATTAGTCTTATCTAACCCTTTACAGCAGCAGTTCTCCACTGGGGGCAATCTGGTAATATCTGGAGATATCTTTGGTCATCACCACTGGGAAGGTCAGGGATGCAGCTAGGTAACAGTGAGTTACCCTGCCCAGAAAGCCAACAGTGTTGAGAAATCCTGTTTTGCAGAAAAAAATTTGCTGCTACTAGCACCAGATCAAGCTTCTTTGTAAAAAAACTCCAAATTCTCTGTTTCCTTTTGGCCGTGATGATGGATATAATGGTGGGTGTGTGTGATGCCCTACTTCAGGCTCTGTCCCCATTAGACTGTGAGCTTTCTGTGGTACAGACGGAAGCTGCCAGACCATCACTGTATCCTGGGTACTCAGCAAAGAGCCTGGTACATAAGTACTTGCTCAGTAAGCAGCTGTTTGGTGGATGAATTACTAAATAATATCTGTAAGTGACTTATAATTCTTTGCATATCATGGTTGTTTATGATACAAGGGATCTAGAGCCAAAGAAAAGTTTTGTTAAACTGGTTATGGTGGTGCATGCCTACAGTCCCAGCATTTGGGAGGATAAGGGCAGGAGGATCACCATGAGTTCAAGGCCAACCTGGGCTACACAGTGAGATCAAGGTCAGCCTAAACCACATAGTGAGACCCTGTCTCAAACCACAACCGCCCAAAAGTTTTGTTTTATATTTCTGGGCAATTTTTTATTCATATTTTTCTAATACAGCTTTTCTAGATTCTTTCAGCCTAGAATTAAAGATAATTGCTTTCAAATGAGGGTGCAGAAGCCTAAGTTTCTGGGAAGTGGTAAGATTTAGGGTCTTGTGTGACCTTCTGACAACCCTCTTGCATCTTTAACTCATGGGCTAAAGCATTAAGTACCATGTCCCTCTTGTGCCCTTCTCTGCCAAGTCTGGTGCTCAAATGTTATCTCTCTGCCAGCCTCACAAAGCCCGGCTTGGTTTTATGGGCACAGTGACCTGGCAGAACTCAGACGGTACCTGAGCTCTAAGGCGATGGGTGGTCCAGGGCCATCAGGTGAGCATGAAGTAGGGGAGCACACATATCACACTGGCTGCAGAGGCATCCAGAGGGGCTGGGTCTTTAGAGAATGCTGGCTTTCAGTCTTATCACTACCACTTTGCAGATAAAGAAACAGGCTCAGAACGATTCAGCTAGCTTCCCAAGCTCACATTGCAGCTAGGAGAACAGATGGACTGCAAACTCAGCCTAGCTATGACCGTCCATTCCTCCCAGGGGAATACTGGAATTGCCCCTGAGACTGCCGGAAAAGGGGTGAAAGGGATCACCCATTGTGACCACTACACCTGTTAACAAGGGTGGAGGGGGAGGGAGCCCCCTGTATTTGATGTGGGGTTCAGTCTCAGCTTTAACTGCCATAGGGTATGGGCTTTTTCCCAATATGGAGGTTGGCTGGTTGAAAACTCCCAATTTGCTGGAATAATGCTTCTTCGGGCTCTGAAATCCTGCCAGGGGGCTTGGAGCTCCTCCTTGGGTGGGTTCTTTCTCCCTTGGTCCTCTGTGGGGAGGTGGAGGAGTCCTCTGCTCCAGATTCCCCCAGAAGCAGCCTTTGGGGTTCCCTGCAGGACTTCCCACCTGAGTTTGGACTGCACGGCCAGAGACAGAAGTGAGGACTGTGACTTATTTTGATTCTACTTGAGAAAGGAAGAGTGTCAACGAACCGTGAGGTCTCCGGCATGCGACTGCAGCTGGCTGTCGGCCTTGGGCTTTTTGTTGGAAGAAGAGGAAGTGAACACACCATTGCCATGAGGTCGGCTGGAAGAGGTTAAGTCCTCAGTGGAATATTTGTGTTTAGACGCATCGGAGAGGGGAGAGATGGGTGACCGGAGCATTTTTTCATTTTTATTTATTGGTATTGCCAAGCTGAGAAAAAAAGAAAATTATAGTAACAGAATATCACATAGTGGCACTGAGAAAGGTAAATGTTTTATATATGACCCAAACCTCCCATTTAAGACCTGCTGGTAGGAAGAAATTTATTGGGAATTATTATTAGGAACAACTTAATGGCATTAGGACCATAACAAACAATAAGTAAATCTTATTATTATTATTATTATTATTTGGTATCGGAGACTGAACTCAGGACCTTGTGCTTGTGAGGCAGGCGGCAGAACCACTGAGCTAAATCCCTGGGCCGCAAATTTCAGTTTTTGTTTCTTTACTCTTTCTATCAGGACGAACAGTAATTCTGGAGTTAGTGCCAAAAGAAATGACCAAGAATAATATAATACTTTCATGTTCTGGGTTTTTCATCCAAGGATCTCAAAATAACAAGCATAAGTGGCAAGTAGTGGGAATTCAAAACAATGATAAATGAGCTCTTCATTTTTAAAAGGACTTTGGCTAATATTCAAGCTTATCCTAATTGTTATATAGACAATAACAGAATCAAAAGATAACCCGCAAAGTATGTAGCCAACTGTCAATTGTTGGGTTTCTGATGTAGCCAGACATTGATCAGAATAAACGCAGAATATATAAAGTGTTATTAGAAATGACTATGTCTAATCCCTAGCTCCTCATTTTACCTTCAAAATTATCTATTCATGAATATAATGTTCTCCAAAATCAATAATCAGAGAAGATGGATTCCCTTATTTGTAAGTCTCTGCAATGAATATTATATTGTTAAGCTTTGCTTGATTACTTCACTTTTAGGGGGAAAAAAGTAGTGTTTTGGGCAGACACATTAAACTGAAATAAACTCAATCACTGCTAAGTTAAGATGTTTCTAGAGGTCACCTGATACAGTCAGTTTACAAAGGGAGGTAAACCCACTTAGCAAAGATTTAGTCATTATTCCTGGGGTTATGATCTCTTAATTGCAGGTGTCGGTTATCACTGCAAACAAGCCATTAAAGTCACCTCAAAAAGCAATTTCCTTAGCTGGTGGTCACAGTGGAGAAATTACAAACACAGACCTCTAGAACAAATGACAAAGCCAAGATTCTTAATGTTATGCAAATAGATACATGTTGGGATAGGGTTTCTGGTTCCAAGAGCACTGTGTGTCTAACAACTTGGGAAAAAAGGAAGGAGATGTGCAGAAGAAACCACTTGGTGTGAATCCAAAGTAGCTCATCTTCTGATGGTAAGGACACTGACGCTGAAGGCAGATGTGAAGAGCCTGACTCTGTTTCTTAAAATGAGACCGAAAAAGACTTATTTCTCAGTGTCTGTCATTTCACATGATTTTTACTGTGCATGGGAAACCGATTATGACATTAAATATTGTTACGAATGTATGACTGTTCCCTCCACATCATTGCCAGTTTACATATTCAAGTTGACCACAGAAACTTTATCTGATGGGTCGTCACTTCATCTCTGGGGCAGTGTTGTCACTCTGGTAAACCTGCCTCAGCACTCACAATTCCAGAGGCACACAGACCAGAAAGAGGCACAGTCCCAGAAGAAATTCTGACACGTTTTTCACATGCACTGTTTGATCATATAACTTAAGCAAAACTCTCAGAGTTGGGAGAGTCTGCCAAGACAAGTGTTTTTAATCTGAGGTCCATGCACTTGGGTGGGAGAAAGTGACCTTTTCATTTTCTCTCTAAAGAACATTTCCTGCAATTACAAGAGAGCCCAAGTAGGCAGAGGAATGGTTAAGTTGGAATTGTATTAGCAAGATCCGTGATACATCTCTGATGGATATCAGAGATATTTTCATGTCATATCACAGACATTTTGAAACACTGTTTGCAATTCATTGCTACTTAGCAATTCTGGTCATTGCTAGATTGGCTAGAGAGATTATGAAACGCATTAACAAAGAAGCACACATATAACCATATCACACATTTAAAACTACTGTGGGGCCTCAGTATCCCCGTTCATGTTTTCCTCTTTCTACACAGAGGCTTGCAGCGGGGCCGGTCTGCAGGCCTGACTGTCCGTCCCATGCCGCCCTTCTTTGTCCTGGCCCCCTTCCTTCCCAAGGTGACCCCAGGGCTGCCATGGGCCTGTGTGCCCATGCCTTTGCACTCCAATTTCCTCTCCGACTTTTAGTACTGCTCTACATCTTTTCCTAACCTTTCCGTTTACATTTTTATGTGTTGCTCAGAAACATTAACCTCCCCTTAAGAACCCTGTGTGTACAACGGGGAGAGTGAGAAATGTCTCGGCAGAGGAAAAGTGGCTTCTGTGCAGAGATGCTTCTAAATGGAAAGAGCATCCATGACTGATAATAGGCTACTCATGATGCGTCCCTGGGACCTTGCCTGGCCACAGTGCCATTCATCACAGCAGGTGTGGTGCATGGTGGGGCCCCAGGACCCCCTTCTTCAGAGGACGGGCTGGTTGGCTGTTTGACTTTGGAAGCACAGATGTTTTCTAACTGCATCAGGAGCTCCAGGGGTGCCACCTGGAGACTCCACTCAGGTGCAGTTCTGCATCCTTAGAGAGCCTAACATGCTCATGGGTTTAGCAGCTACCTTCATAATACTAGCTTGAAAAGCTGGTAATTAAGTTTTTTGGAGAAGGGAGTGTTTTGGGGAGTACAGAACTGTGTGTCCCTTGTAATTGGAATTTGGTTAAAGAGAGGGGCCTGAGTGGCCACAGGGAGTTATAGCAGAGGCATAGTGATAAGCCTTAGGGAAGCAAGTCTGCCGATGTGGACTAAAAAGTCATCAAAAGACTAGAGACTGTGTGTCTAACAACTTGGGAAAAAGGAAGGAGATGTGCGGAAGAAACTACTTGGTGTGAATTCAAAGTAGCTCATCTTCTGATGGTAAAGACACTGATGCTGAAGGCAGATGTGAAGAGCCTGACTGTTTCTTAAAATGTGCCTGAAAAAGACCTATTTCTCAGTGTCTGTCATTTTACATGATTCATGACCCTGCCCCAATATGGCACAGGCTTTCAAACCTGGGGTCCCTCCAGCTCTTCCTCACCTCCCAGGGAACGCACCTACCTGTTGATGTTCACGTTGCAGTGGTTTGCAGACGAGGTATTATTGGCAGAGGCAGCCAGTCGTGAAGAGCTTTCTTTCTCTCCCTGGGCCTTCTTCATCTCCCGGTCATCGTCTTCGTTGTCGCACTAGGTAGGGACCAGCAAAAGCCAATAAGCTCTGGATTTCAAGGGGTCGCAGTGAGCCCCAGGACTCGGACCTCCAGAGCCAGGCCTCCTGCTAAGCCCTCAGAATGGGGGCCCCACGAGCTCCTCATTGAACCAGGAGGAAATCTGTGGTGTGTGCTGTCCAGAACTTAATGTGAGAAAGGCACGATGATGCCCTGACCAAGACATAGAGGGACATGTGAATGATGAAGCTGCATGGGATTTGGTCCTAGAGCAGACCTGTTCTAATTTACACTGCTTTGGGCAGTTCCAGGCATCAGACTGAGGTATAAAAAGCACATGTTCTCTGGGTAAGCCTAGGTCTTTCTGCTCTGAAAGTTGTGGCTTTTGCGAATGGAAGGGAGAGGCTGTTACATCTCGGTGTCTTAGTTCTGTGCAGAATTCCCAGCCCCTGACATCTTAAAATCATTAAGGTGCCTTATTATAAGATAGGACTTGCATTGTATTTTTGTTCATTTGTTTGGTACTGGCTATGGAACAAAGCCTTCTGCACTGAGCTATATCATCAGTCCTCTTTTGAATTTTGAGACAGTGTCTTGCAAAGATGCTAAGTTGCCCAAGCTAGGCTTGAACTGAGGTGACTGTCTTGCCTCAGCCTCCCAGAGTACTGCGATTATAGACATGCAACACCGCTTTTTCTTTCTAGCTGGGGTTGTGTCACAAAGCTCCTGGATGTTTACACTGTAACAGTGGCCCCAGGGAGGGCCCATTCCAAACCTTCCAGTCACCTTACGGGACTCCAGCAGGGTGAGACCTGGCACCTTGGAGAGCAGGTCTATTGGTTGACTTCTAGCACCCAGTTGGGTCCTAAATACCCAGAATGCCGAGTAAGAGTGCTATGAAAATGTCCTTTCCTTCTCTTCTGTCTATGGTCTCATTAGGCCTCACAAGTTGAGCTCATAGGCCTTATTAGGCTTAGGGTAAATGAAGTTCCCTGTGTTAATAAAGGGCATGAATAATACAACTCTTTAAATACAGAGCATTAAGGGCTTTATATGTATGTTATTCTTATCCACGTATTGTATATGTCTGTATGTTTTTCTATTTACTTATCTATGTCTACATGTACATCTCTCTCTATACCCATGTATGTCTGTATAGCCATGCATATTTCCAATCTATGTGCCTACTAATATCTACCTCCATGTATTTCTTATGCAGCCTACCAATTTATCCACCAACTTCAGAGTTACTATCCACGTTTCCCTAGGTGATTGATTCATTCTACAAAAATTGAGCACCAACAAGTAATGAGGAAGGGGAAAGGTGTCCAGGGGAAGACAGGAAGAAAGAGGGGCGGGGAAGAAATGAGACAATACATGACTTTGTAAAGTAATCAAATAGAAGACACTTCATAGTCTCCCTCTTTAACCTATCACAGTGGTGTTTATTTGCTATTTCATGCTTTGTTCCTTTATATGTGGGGCTCCTTGCGGGGGCGGGGGGGATGAAGACTCTCAAAAGCTGGGTGTGCTCCAGGACTAGTGTACGTGTGCAGCCCACCAGTGTCAGGTCCCACCTTCCACAATGATGGGACCTACCTGCCAGGCTAGCCTGGGTGGGAAGTCCCATTAGGCATTTTCCCTTCCCATGTCCCTATCAACCCATGGTGAAAGACCCAGGAGCTTTCAATCTTCTCTCTGAAACACCTCACTGCCTGGACTGGGGCTGGGCAGAATGGGAACCCCAACCTTGGCCCTTTCAGTGTTGCATGTGTGGAACTTCTGGGGGCAAAGCTTGAGTGGTCCCTGGACTAAGGTGGGGGAAGGGGGTGGCTGCATGGGGCTGGGGTGCCAGGGGCCAAAGAGCAGTCTGAGGCCTCCTGTAGGAGGAGCAGAACACACCTGCTACATCACTAACAAAATCCAAATTTGGGATGAAATGAAGTTTCAAGATGGCAGCCACAGCGCTACACTCCATGGCCCCGTGGGAGGTCTAGGGTTTAGGGAGTTGGCCCCAGAGTCTAAAAATGGTTAAAAAAAAAGGATACCAGGTCAGGTCAGTGAGGTCAAAACCCTCAAACTTTCCACCCCGCGTGAGTACCCTCAGTGCAAGGAGGATCCAATATGGGGTGGAAGTGGGGTGCTGAAAGGTAATAGCCAAAGGTGAACAGAAACTATACTAGTGTCTGTTGAAAAAAATCATCTTTGCATCCTTACCAACAGGAAAGGCAAGCAGCTGCTTTTCTGAAGCTATTTCTTTTCATGAACTTTCTTGAAAGGGGTTCAAATTCTACTTTATAGGGATAAATTAAATGTACTACGTGAAGAACAGATTCTTAGACATTTTGTGATAAATTTCCCTGCTGCTGGGTGCCCTTTAGGTCATGAAGATGACTGTCAGAAGGAGACCGTATGCCTTCTCCATTCTCAATTCCAAAATGATCTTGGCCAGCAGAAGGTGACAAACCTTACTCCCCAGCCCTCCTTAAACAAGAATTTGAGACAGCTGATATCTCACTTCGAGACTTGGGCCAGACAGCTGCCTATGTTCATTCCTGGTTTTCTCTTTGGCAACATAACTCGGGCCAGTCACTTAAAGTTCAAAACGTTTATGTTTTTAACTGTTGTGAATAAAGTTATTATGAACATTACAAAAAGTTTATGGCAATTTCTGTCAAAACATGACAGTGTGTCCTGATCCAACTTAATCATCGGTTCTCACACTGTGTGACTTCTGGCTCTTCCCCAAAGTCAAATGACCACGAAAGGTAAATATTTTCAATCAATTCAGGACACTGAGGCAGCCAGGAAAGCGCAACTAAAGATACTAACGAAAGAGAACTTCCAGAACTGCTTCAGAAAGTGGCAAGAATGATTGGGTGTTTTCAAGTTGAGGGGAGGATTTTGAAGATAGATAATGACAATATTTCTCACTGTAGTAACTTTCTGCAATGTAAGCACTCACTGCATTGTTTGATCATACCTTATAAATGAACGTTCATTGTTCTTGGTAATGACTTTGCTCTAAATTTGGAACCACTCATAAATACTGCAGTCTTTAGTTTGTCACTTACTATGGTCCAGGTTATTTTTGAAGATGCAGCAACAGGAGGCAGAAAATACCATGATCATGCCGGTGTCCCCTGCAGACCTGGCTGAGGGTCCAGCACAGGCGGCCAGAGGCTCTCACCGTGCATGACCTCGCCTCACCAATTCAGCCTGCTCATATCTCCTGGTACCACTTCCTTCTGGGGCCTCTGGTTACTCCATCCAATGTTCCTCCTCCCAGAACCCCGTTCTCAGCCCTCTCCACCTCAGAATCCTCCTGATCAACACTACATCTCAGCAACAGCTCTGATGTCGCAGCTTGTGCTGGGGCTCAGGGTCACCCATATTCACCTTCCACCAACCAGCCTGAAACTCCACCAGGGAGCTGGCTTCTTAGGTGGTCAAGCGATTCCACCATCAATGCTACCCTGCCAACCACTCAGCTTGTGCCTACACAAAATAAATATTCCCTGTGTGTTTGACTTTGTCCTCACGCAGTGAAAGAGGGCTCAATTATAAAACTGGAATGGAGTACTACTCTAACATAAAGAAGGATAGATTGTAGGAAAATGATTGCCCCTTGAGACCACCATGTTAGGTGAAATAAATCAGACACACAAACTTCAGTATTACACAACTCCTCTTATATGAGAAGCCCAAAGTATAAATGATTACAGAAAACAAAATAGAAGATAGATAATAGGAAACAGGGACATAGATCTTTGGAAAATGAAAGAGGATGGAGGGCAGGGAAAAGAGGGGAAGGGGAATAAAAAGAATTAAGATGTGTTAAGTACAGGTACCTTTCCTTAAGATGAATATATAACTTTTTTGGGGGGGTTTCTTTGAGACAGGGTCTCACTATGTAGTCCAGGCTGACCTTGAACTCTCAGCAATCCTCCTGCCTCAGCCTCTTAAGTGCTGGGAGGACAGGCCTGCCCTTCACGCCACCCTCAACCCAGACCCCCCCATGCTCCACCCCCTGCCTATAGTGAAGCCAAGTACCCCTCCCCCAGGCCCGGCCCCAGCTACCTTGCGTTTCCTCTTGGACTTCGGCAGCGCCTTTTCGGGGGTCGTGTCCAGCGCGTGGCCGGGCGCTGCCACCTCAGGGTCCTTGGCAGCTGGAGCACTCAGGACCCCGGGCTCCTGGGGCAGGTGCTCCGGGATCCTAGACAGGAGAGTCAGGTCGATTTTGACCCAGAGGGACCTGATCTCGTCACTGTCCTTCAGCGGGGAGAGGAGTTCGTTGCGGCCAAAGGGGACCAGCGTGTAGAACTGCTCCTCCAGCTCCTTGGCGATGTCGCTGGTGGTCCTGGCGTTGATAGAGCCCACGGGGGCCCGCGGGCCTGTGCCCCCGGGGACGCCGCTGGCCTCCTTCAGCCTCTGGTCGCCACCGGCGGAGGTGGCGGAGCCCGTGGTCACCTGTGCCTTGGACAGCGGGTACTCCTCCTGCTCTGACTCCAGGTCCGACTCAGAGGAAGAGGACGAGGACGAGGACGACTCGGTCTCGATGAACTCCTTGGACTTGGGCACGGTCCTGCCGATCCCCCGCGTGCGCCGCTTGTCGCAGGGGGCGGCGCGCAGCTCTTTGCGGTGGCTCGTCCTGCCTGCGCCGCAGGGCCTGGCCTTGGGGGGCTCGGGGGCGGTAGCGCTAGGCCCTAGCGTGTCGGCAGCGGCGTCCTCTGGCCGGTGGCACGCGGTGGCAGTGGCGGCGGCTGTGGCGATAGCGGCGTCGGCGGCCGCGCTCCGTTCCGCGCGCCGCGTGGGCTTCTTGGCCCCGGACCTGCGCGTGGGCGCGGGCGCGCTCTCGGTGGGGACCCCCGGTGGCGCGGGCGGCGGGGGCGCGGCAGGGGCCACGGCGGCAGGAGGCGACTTCTGCTTGGCTGCCTTGCTGCCCGGGGCCTTGTTGGCTGTCCGCGGCCTCTGCTCCTCCTTGCAGACGCCCTTGACGTCCTTGTCCCGCAGCACGGCCAGGCCCGCGTCTGGCAGCTTCCCGCAGTCCTGCGCGTCCTCCTTCCCCGCCGCCGGGTAGTACTGTGAGCCCTCGGGCCCAGGCCCGTCACTCTGGGTCAGCAGGGGCGGCTTGTGGGGGTTGACTTTGTTGAGCCATTTATCCAGCTGCCACTTGTTGGAGGATGCTGGTTCAACCTGGAAGCAGAGAGAGAACCCCTGAGAAACCAAACAGCTTTTACTAGGCTCACTGAAAAGGGCCCGGCCGTTCTTATCTGGACCTTCTTCTCTGGGTGCAAGAGTGAAAACCAGCAGAGGACTGGGAGACCTCGGTGTGTGCTGTAGCCCTTACTTCCTCTGGCACTTAATGTTCCATCAGAAGTGTCCTGGCCAAAAAATGAGCACTTTCAAGAATGTGTCTATATGTATAATTACATACACTGGAGATTCCATGATACTTAACTGGGGAATAATAGACCTTAAAGTGCCCCCTTTTTTGGGTGAGACTTAACACCGAGAGAAATCTGAGAACCTACAATCCCAAGGAATTAACACATAACTTATGTGGCAAAGGCTAGGATGATGCAGTTATTTGATAGCAGAGGCAATCCTGTGGCTGGCTTAGCAGTGAGAACTCCCTTCCCACAGGGATGTGTGTATTCCTGCCCGGTGCACTTTGGCAGGTCACTTGGTTCGTGCGTCCTGAACCTGCTCCTGTCCCACTCTGACAAAAATATTCAGACACCCAGGTGATGGTGGAACCTTTCCAGGAAGCAGAGTTGGTGACAGAGCACATGGTGGACCACACAGGGTTTAAACTCTGACCCGAAGGTGAGCTCTGGGAGGGGGTGGTGCCCATGAACACCTGGAAACGGGACAGGAGATGTGTGGATGCGCCCTGCCACCATTGGGAGAGATCCAGAGTTCTGAGTTGAGTTTCTAAGAATTTGTATTCCAAAAAGCTTGAGAACCAAGACTCCTAATACAAATCAGTTTTCACAGCATTAGGATTATTAGTTAGCAAATGACTGGATTGAGAAATGCACAACTTTTGCTAGGGTATCTGCAATTTGTCAGTCCATGTGAAATGGGAGAAACATTCTTAGGGATTGAGGTGATGATGTATTTTTCCTTTCATATGCTTCCCCCTTCCCCCAAATTCGTGTGTCAGGCAGCTGTGCTTGAGATACAGGTGGTCAGGGGCTTAGCTCAGGGAAATGAGAAGCCCCTTATGGGCTGAGAGGAGGGACAGGGGCCAGAAAGAACTGGCCACATGGAGTGTGGGGATCCGCCACTCAGAGCTGTGGCAGGGGCTGTGGATGTCCATGTAGTTGTCCACGATGAGACTGACCACACTTGAGGGAAGACTAGCACTGAGTGTCCAGTGACTTGGGAGGGGGGCAAGACAAGTTCAGTGGTGGCCAGAAAGAGGATGTAAGGTACCTTATATAAATGGAGAAGATACCACTCCTGGGGGCTTTGAGGATGGAACAGCTTTGTTTTGAAACAGAGGTGTGAGAGGGAGATCCTCACCTCAATGCCCTGACAAGGAGTCTGGTCTTTTAAAACATTTATTTATTTATTTATTTATTTATTTATTTATTTATTTATTTATTTTTTGAGACAGGGTCTCACTATGTAGTTCAGGATGGCCTTGAACTCATAATGTAGCCCAACTGGCCTCAAACTCAGGGTAATCCTCTCACCTCAGCCTTCCAAGAGCTGGGATTACAGGTGTGCAGCACCACACCTGAAAAGGAGTTTGGTCTTTTGATTTTATTGTTTTTTTTTGCTTTGTTTTCATGCCACCAAAATCCAAAATAAGATGCAAAGGAACAAAAAGATATATTAGTCGAGTCCCCTTTATCCAGAATGCTTGAAATGAAAAGAGTTTTGGATTTAAAAAGTTTTTGGAATATTTGCACATGTATAGTGAGATAATGGGGATGGGACCAAAGTCTAAACATAAAATTCATTTATGTTTCATACACAATTTTATACACTATTTGTAATGATTCTGTGTGTGGAACAGGCCTCACAGCATAGGATTTTCCACTTGTGGCCTTGTGTCAGTGCTCAAAAAGTTCCGGATTTTGGAGAATTTCAGATTTTAGGGTTTTGGATTAGGGAGGCTTAGCCTGTATCATCTTTGTACCTTTGAGTTGTTAGATATAAATTCTTGCTTTATATTGGTCTTTCCAGAGAAAGATGTTGCCTAAAGATGTTAGAGGACGCCAGACATCAACACAGATAGCTTCTTGCCAAAGGGGGTGCCCTCCTCTTGCCTGACATTAGCTGACCATGACTGAAAGCTAATTTGGTGGTGCCTGCCTCCATTTTTCCCACATGTGACCACTGGAGATCAAAGCCTTCCATTCTGCTTCAGCTTCCCCAGGCAAATGGGACCCAGTACTAACCAGAGCAGAAGGGATCTCATGAGGAAGGGTGCATGTATCAGAGAGAGAGCTTGCATGCCTGGGGCACAGCACGGCACTCAGCCATCTGCCACTACGTTTAATACCAGCTCTCCCTCCCTCCAGAGCCTGTTATGGCTCACATCTCTAATAGGAGAGAACAAAGAAGATCATATGGAGCCCAACATAGCTGCACATGGGAAGAATCACATTGAAGCTTCCAAGTGGGAGCATTAATAGTGAAGAGCAGAATTTAATATGTTTAGTATGGTCCTGTTGCCTGATGTGCTTTAGGGTCATTTTTGTCTGCACTTCACAACTGAACAAATCAGTCTGAAGTACCACTTTCAACACATCACTAAATCACACTCCCTTTCCCAAGGATCTACAATAACCTCCTATTACCTCTCCAATGAAACCTAAATTTTCCCTGCTGACATTTAAGGGCCATCATCTGGTGATCATTGCTCATTGCTGGGACACCTAGAATATGCCTCCCACTTTACACATCTTATCTATTTGAATCTTTACAGATAAGAAATATTATCTCCCTTAAGTTGTAGATGAGGCTCAGAGGTTAAGTGACATGTCCAAAGCCGCAGTGCTTCCAGGCTCCACCAAAACTAACCTGTGCTTACTTAGATGTAAAGACCAGATTCTGGGCACTGTTGCCTCCTGTGACGGTTAATCTTGACTGTCAACTTGACTGGCTTGGGAGATGCCTAGGAGATCAGTAAAGCACACTGGTCGGTGTATTTGGGTGGGTGATGGAGGTGTGACCTTGGGGATCATATTTGGTTCCTGACCCCTTCCTTTCTGGCTCGTCCCTGCTCTCTCCTTCCTGGATGTCTTAGGTGAAGCAGCTTTGCTCCACCATGATGTTTCTGCCTTGGAGCCAGCTAACCATGGACTGAAACCTCTGAAATCCTGAGCCAAAGTAAACTTCTCTTCTTTAAATTGTGGGTGGTAGGTATTGTGTACCAGTGACAAAAAGCCAACACAGAAAATTGGCACCAGAGATGTGAGGTTGTTGCTATAAGTGTGCTTGACCTTGTGGTTTGGGGGGAGTTTGGAAAGGTTTGGAGATGTGAGGTAGAGAAGCCCGAGAATGATGTAAGCAGAGCCTGATGGGTGATTTTGGTTGGAGCTCAGAAGCCGAGAATGTTGACAGGAATATCCACAGCAAAGGTCAGGCTCAGAAGGGTTCAGATGGAATGAGGACTCTATTAGGAAGTAAACTAGAGGGCACACATATTTCATCCTGGGAAAGAATTTGTCTGCTTTGTTCATGACTGAAAACTTTGTGTGAGGCTAATATATTTCCCTTACTCCCACTACGTTCTAGTGTAGCCTCAGGAAAGGAGGACCCAATTCTTTGAGAAATGTTCATCTTCAAACTAAAATGGTATCATGAGACTTGATTTTTGAGCCCTCCAAACGATACCTGTTCCCCTGTATATCCTCAACAGTAGAATCTTCTGATGTTTGTGTTTATTTATTTGCATATTTCTGTGTCTTCAACAAAGCCCAACTCTTCCTTCAGGCCAATTGTATTTCTTGTGTACCCTTCAGAGCATCTGCACTTGGTTAGGAGGCCAATTGCTATGGTGCTCCTCATAATGAGTGAGCTGCTGCTGTTTCCCACAACTATTGTACAGATTAGGCAGGGAAGCACTAGCTGCCATTCTGGGGAGAAGACAGTTGTAGCCAAGGAGGCTGAAATAATGAGAGTTAAGCAGTAATACATAGGGAGAACCCAGGGCCCCAGACTCTAGCCTACCAGCATGCACTAGTGAAGACAACCCCCTTCTGGAACTTGTATGGGGCTTCTGCCTGGTGTTTTGGTTTCCTGGTTTGCTGCTTTATGTGTTCAGCCACAACTCTGTTCCCTGATTAATTTTCCCTCTGATTCATGCACAAGCTTTCTGCCATGTCCCTGATTCATCTGTATCCTTCATAGCACCCACTGCCATATACCCTAGAGGCACCTAATTAATGGGAGGCTTGTTGCATCAATGAACAACGTGCATCATATTTCTGTTCATTTTAAAGAAAGAACTGCAGAAGCATTTTACAAAATGTGTTTTTACTTCATATATTCCAAGGAGAAAGGTTGCCACAGTCAAGATGCCCTATGTAAAGAAACAGGGTCAACTTTATCCCAGGACTCAAAATGATGTCACCAGGCTTTATTTATTTTTAGTAACTTGAGCAACCCTGGGAGAGTGAGTCCTGTTTCCTGGTGTCAATGTGCCAGCTGAGAGAGTGCAAAAGGCCAGGAAAGCTCATGAGACAAAACCCATGTGAAAGAGAGAATGAGGCTGAGAACAACAAGCATGTGCCAGGGCCTGGGGAGGGGATGTGCAGGCACCCTTGTGTGTATCCGTGTTAACCTTGGGGAAATGTTAAAAAGAAACTTGCTTTTATTCCAACAGCACATCCCTTCCCAGCAGAAAGGAGCAAGGCATGGTGTGGCTATGATCACCTGCCACTCTACAGAGAGAAGCAAGGAAGTGGAATCCCTGCCAGGCCTCAGGGAGCTCAAACTTCTAGGCTCCTTTAGCACACTTGTGCTTGTCCTTAGTGAGGGCCTCTGTCAGCTGCTGCAAGAAATGGCAAGTGTCTTCTTCTACCTCCCTACCCCGACTCGGGGGTACATGGCTTCTGAAGCTTCCTAATGAGCACAGTGATTTTTAGAAAGAACTTGCTTAGGGTGCTTTATAACTGTACTGCTGTCTGGCAGCATGAGGTTGCAGCCCATTCAGGGGCTTTAGGATTCAGCTTTCAGTGTGAAAAGAAGACTCAACGCTCATGAATTTAACTTGTAAGGCACAAAGAGGAGCCTGGACAGATTGGGCTTCACAGACCCTAACCCTTTTTATTTACTGTCTCTGGGGCATAGCTACTTATTATAGTTAAATCTTCTGGAATTCCTCAACAAATTGTAGCATAAGACAGACTTTATAAAAGTGTACCTCCTCTCCTATATTCTGCTGAACTCCTATATTGTTTGGTTTCATTAGCTCTACGAAGACAGGGCCATTTTCTGTCCTATAACGGCTTATTCCAGAGCCATGTGCCATGTCTGTGGCAGATGCTCAATAAGTATTTGTTGAATGAACACAGAATGAGTGAATGAATGAATGAATGAAATTATGAGAGAGGAATAAAAGTTTAGTTTCTGGGGAAGCCAGGGTTACAATAAGCTGTAAGGCTTTTATAGGCTCATGTTTCTCAGGACCTTGATCTCATGTGGAGAGGTGGACAGATTTAGATAGATGGACAGAGAGACAAGAGCTGCATGCAAAGGAGAGAGAATGACGAAGATATGGTTCATGCCAAGATGAATGGAGAGCTTTAGAGTAGAAAGGTGCTGCAGAGGAAGGGAGGATGATGAGAAAAAAACATCTCCAGGGAAAGGAAGAGGTATTTTGTGAACCTAAGATGAGACATCACCACGTGATCACCACTTCAGTTGTGACAGTGTCTAGGTTCACCCTGTAAGTCACTCTCTGTCATGACTTGTTTGCATGATGGTTTGATTTCACATCAGAGCCTATTTAGGAACCTGAACCCCAAAATAGTATGGAGGATTGTAAGTAAAAAATTAAACCCCACAATCCATGATGATGTTGAATGCTTATACACTCAGGAAGAAGCTTCATCTTATTCCTACTTTAAGAAAACACAGCTACCCCTATGGCTCCAAAGATTTGAGAAGTGTGTTCCCAACCCTCACCTGGGAATCTTCATGCTCTGAATTACTATTTATTTCCTCCCTTTCAGCTTTCAGGTAGAAACAGCAAAGGTTTTTATTGGTACCTTATAATAGTTTTATACGAGCCACCTAAATCTTCCCCATAGATACTGATCATAGCTGTAAAAGGTTTCATTATCACTTGTAGGTGGATGCTAACTTTCCCCTTTCTATTTTCACAAAGCAAACACAGTTAAACAGGTTTTGTTAATATTTATGGCCCCTGTCCTTCTGATCCATGACAAGCTGTGAATAGGTAGGATTCTAAGCATGTCTAATCCATAAAACTCCCCTCCTGTGATTTATGTGTGGTCACACTTCCCAGGTGGCAAACTTCCTTGTTGGGTTACTGCCACACTGACCCTCAGAGAGACTCTTTCCATAGCTTGTTTCCTGTTAGTGATATTTACAGCATATTTGGAAATTTCTGGAAGTCACCCAGAGATTTTTGGACAGTGAAAAATGATGCTTTGGACTTCAAAGGAAGCAGAGTCATTAGGGGACTGTGAGGAGGGGTCACAATGGAGCAAGTGAGAAGCCTCAAGTCTTAAAGGCTCGAGTTGGGGGGTACAGGAGGGTAAGGAGGTAGGGGGATGAGAGCCAGAAGAGGGGACTCCCTGGCTTCAAGCCCAGAGGGTGGGCTCAGTGCTTACCTCAGGGCTGGAGTAGTGGGGTGGCTTGCTGCCCTCGCTCTCGCTGGAGCTGCTCTCAGTCTCTGAGTCCGATCCCGAGCTGCTCTCCGAGTCGCTGGAAGAGCTGCCACTGCTGCTGCTACTGCCGCTGCTGCTGCCCTTGCTGGACGGCACGGAGCCCCTGCAGTTGGTCTGCTGGACCGCGGTGCTGCCAGGCAGGGAAAAGAAGAAGGAAGGGAAAGCCAAGTGAGCAAACAGGAAGGCCTCCACAGGCTGCCACCCAGAGGGAAGGGAAGGGGAGGCAAAAATTGCACATCCTTCAGCCAGGACCTGGACTCAGGGAGTGGTCATCAAGATCAAAGGCAGCCCGATGGTTGAGCAAAATGAAACAGACACAGAAATAAAACTGAGGATGGAAGTTGGTTCTTCTTGGGAGCTGGGCACTGGTTCTAAAGTGTGTGGCCACTTTAGAAGGGAGGGTGGTGTTGAATCCAAATGGCTGTTTCTGTGTCACTGCTGCTTCTGGGAATGGCTTTTTAAATGCATCCATCCCCTCCAACTACACCCACGTGAGAAATTCAGAAAGGTGGAAATTGTTTGCAAAGTGTCAAACTGACAGTTCGCTGTATTTTTGCCCCAGAGGAAAATGTAGCCTAATGGCAAGGATCAGGAAGAGGGCTGTCAGGAAGGGACAGTTTTCATGCCTGCTGGAAGGCTCCACAATTTGAGGCTGTCACAATATAAGTCTTACTTTCCTCCTTTTTCTGCCCATAGAGTCTAGTACTGCGGTCATCACTGGAACTGGCCTCGAGTGTAAATAGTAACCTTCTTTTGAGTCTTTAGTAAAGAACTAAAGATCTCTCACAGACACAGTTTTATATACTCCACACTTTTTTTTTTTGGTACTGGCAATCAAACTCAGGTCCTTGTGCCTGCGAGGCAGGTGGCAGAACCACAGAGCTAAATCCCCAGCCCATACGCCACATTTCTTTATATCATGCTGAAATTCACCACAGACTCCTTACATAACTCAGAAACAATAGGAAAAACCAATCAATGCTTTCCAGAGGTAACTCATTAAACACAAAAAATTCAAATAGCACATATCTACTCAAAGAGCATTTAAGTCAAAGAGAAAATCTGAGTATTCACATTATTTTCAACATCTTCCAACTCCTTTATTAACTGAATTGCAACATACTTGAATGTGTTCTTTTGAGGTCAAGTGCTAACCCCCCCCCCCAAAAAAATTGCTGTTCACTTTTATGTCGAGTCAGCAAAAACCTGTATCGCTTTCAACTGTGACCATGGCTTCCACAGGGCTGAACATTAGAGTGAGGCAGGGCTCATTAGGGTTTATGGTTTCAGGTGCAAAGCAGGCTGGACAAGGTAAAGGACCCTTTTCACTCATCCTTTAAATCTCTGATAAATGCTCTGCCCAAGGACAGACTCTTGTAAATCCTGGGCGTGAGGGCTGGGCAGAGGGCAATCCTCCTTAGAGTCTTGCTTCTCCTGTGAAAACCACAAGACAAAAAATGGTCCTGTAGGAACTTTGGCAATAATAGCACCTTTCTGAATGGCAAGGTTAGAAGAAACTGGGGTTTGAACGTAATCTTCCCCAGAGGCTTTCACCTCTTCCTGCCAATGTCATGGTCCATACACAGTGTATGACAGAATTCTCCAGTGTCAGGTTTGTGTGGTGCCTGAGCAGGTACAATTTCTTCCCCGGCCTATTGTCTGAGTTAGGTATTGAGGGAGGAATCCAAGAACTTGAGATAGGAGGGGAAGGGATAGTTAGTCCTCCAGGGACTGCAATATTTCTTTTCTTCTCTTATGAATGAAAATCCATCTTCCTGTTGACTCAATGGAGATTGCTACTATCAATATAACAATAATAATGATA